TAATGTGCATGACTGTGAGGTAATTATCAATGCATGGATAGTAAATTTGTCTGAAATGACTGGTTTAACTTTTACAGTTTGTACTCGGACACCACCAGAAGAGGTAGTTTGGAAACTATTTATTTATTTAGAATATTTCTAGGCTGCCTCTTCAGAGTGTCGCTCGAGGTGGCTTACAATTTAAAAACCATGGTATAAAAACAAGCCATTAAACAACATTGAATGATGCATTTGGAAACCATGTTGAATACCCTATTTACCTGAAAGGATGGATCCTGTTTATTTCCCACTTGTGCCATCAAAAACAAACAAACAAAAAACGAGGCCATTCTAAATCCACACGAAGGTTATAGTTATGTATACTAATAAACCGTTCAAGTACAGCCCTTAATTTTTTAGGGGGATCATCTTACCTTCAGACTTATTTTCCTTTGGGATAAATATTGTATGTATTACACATTTATCTCACCCTTGCTCTAAGGAGTTCAGGTTAGTGTACAGAGTAGGTCTCTTCTTCACCACTTTATTCTCAGAGCAGACCCAGACCCTGGGTCCATTTAGCTCAGAACTTGCTCTGCCTGACTGGTAGTGGCTGTCCAAGATCTCAGGCAGAGAATTGTCTTCAACATTGTTACTTGAGGCCCTTTTAACTAAAGATTGAACTTGAGACCTTCTGCATGGAAAGCATGTGCTCTACCACTAAGCCATGTTCCTTTTGTGATCACCATTTCCATATGTGATCTGAACTTCTGCATATGTTTTGAAGGGAATCTGCTGATATAATTTAGTTTAGGGGTCACCTAATCTATCCCATCCTCTTGATAATCTTATCCAGTTTTATCTCTTGTGCTCAGGGTGTCTTGGAAACATTCACTTCCTACTTCTACTGAGAGCAAGTATTCAATACCAGCAATGTGCTATAGGTACTGCACAGGATAGGGGCAGGTCACAATTTTCCTTGAGAACTTTTATAATTTAGAATAAATAGGTTGGGGACAGAGGTAGAAGATGATGAGGAATATACTTGAATTTCACTATAACTATTTAATTTATTGGGCTGAACAGGAGGTGTAGGTCCAAGGCCAATTAGTATATCCAAAATGGAGACAGCTGCTGAATCTGTGTCCAACTTGCTTTCACAAGGGATGCATAATACCCACACAGCAATTTAAACCTGGCTGCTTTCCAGATTAAAGTGCATTCTTAGTGTTGCTTATGAACATACTTTGTCACTTTACTCACAAAACCCATTGGCCCTCACCCACAGCTCCCTTGTGGCTCACTGAAAGGGCCTCACTTCTGGGGAAGCTAAACTTGTCTCAGCCTTGGCTTCCAATGGTGACTTTTTAAAAATATCAGCTCCTCCTTTTTACAATTACAGGAAATGTACTTTCTGGACTTCCAAACATATCTGTCCTGCTTAGTAGTGAAAGTGGGCAAGTGCAGATGAACGGGCTTATAAAGAGTGCCTACAAGGCATTTTACCCCAAACCATCAAAGGGCTGGGAATATCTGCAAAGCAGTACATCAGTTTTAAACACTGTCCCTACCCGCTGTGGGTACATTGCTTGGATCAGGCAACCAGAAGAGCTGTATTTTATGCTGGGGGTAGAAAGCAGCACTTTGCCTGTCTTGGGATCTTCCAGTGAATCACAGAGTAATAGGATCTGAAGATAGTTGGACTGCACTGAGAAGCATCAGGCTTATTGATCACAGGCAAAAATCCAGAGAGAATAGTTTAAATACTTTGAATGGTATTCCTGTAGCTCTCTGTTCTAGAATAGACTTTTGAGGAAGATAACATTCCATTTAAAATAAAATTTAGGCCACCAGGCACTTTAAGTCATTAGTATTTTCTCTGGCAAAAAAAAAAAAAGGTCCTGGAAACCAGACGAGTCAACGAAGAGTCCTATCTATCACCCCCTTGCATGCCTATGGGTATATTTCGAGAAAGTGTGCCACAAAAGGAAGTACTTCACAACAATCAATTTGGTAGTAAGAACTTCTCACCTATCAGTCTAGTTAGGCTGCAGAAACAGCCTTGAGGTTCAGCTTTCAAACAGGAAGCTGGCTGGGGAATAACTTCCACTGTTCATCACCCTAGTCTGTCTTTTCTGTATACTCTTTAAAATATATATAAATAGATTATTGAAAACCGAGTTGTAATTAGCAAGTCTTAGAGTGGACTACTGTTTAATGTGCATGAGTAGCCCTGTTCACAGGTTACAGTGAATGCATGTAGTCCATCTACAATCTACACTTGATTTTTCTTTATAATGCAACATAATTCTTATGTTGCATTAAGGCATGTTCAGTTTGGACATGTGATACAAACCTCATGTTTATACAGGTACTAATCCAGAGTTTAATTTGTAAAAGGAACACACATCGGCTCTTTCTTACAAAGAGATGTACACATGAACATGCAGGATGTATGTGCATTCCCAAGACAGCCAGTTTGATGTAGTGGTTAAGTGTGTGGACTCTAATCTGGGAGAACCGGGTTTGATTCCCCACTCCTCCACTTGCACCTGCTGATGTGACCTTGGGTCAGTCACAAGCTCTGGCACAGCTGTCCTTGAAAAAGAGCAGTTTGTGTCAGAGTTCTCTCAGCCCCACCCACCTCACAGGGTGTCTGTTGTGGGGAGGGGAAGGGAAAGGAGTTTGTAAGCCGCTCTGAGACTCCAAGTGAAGGGCGGGGTATAAATCCAACTTCTTCTTCTTCTTCTTCTTCTTCTTCTTCTTCTTCTTCTTCTTCTTCTTCTTCTTCTTCTTCTTCTTCTTCTTCTTCTTCTTCTTCTTCTTCTTCGTGTGAGGTGTAACAGGAGAAAACTGAGCAGTAGGGCAGACTTTACCGCCGCTTCAGAAATAATATGGAAGGCTGAGTCCCAACTAAACCCCCCCCCCCACACACACCCCCACCGCTACCCACCCGTTCCTGATCTGGACGTGTCCCCCAATTTCCGCTGTGCACAAGACTTCTGACCTTACTTAGCTGATCAGAATTTGTAACAATCCTGAGAGTACTGAACTTGGATATTCCTAGTTTTTCTCTAGATAGCCCAAGCTGAAACAAGTGAAAAATAGCCTCAAACATGAATCTCTGTTGAATAGCAATAATTTGTACCTACACAAAATCAGGTGATTGATTTCTCAACACACACAATCTTTGAAGAAACACTCGTAATGCTTCTTGCTCTCTCACATACATAAAGGTGGGATTCATGTGATATATGTAAGGGAGGCCTAGGAATGAGGCGATTTGCAGGTCCCTGGAATTATGAGATAACAGAACTGTGAGGAAATACCTCAGAGTAAGATAGAGAGAAGCACAAAAATGATTTGGGCTGTAATTAGAGTTGCCAACAATCTGGGGAAAAATCCCTGCTTAATGAGATGTTATTTACCATGTGTTGGCAACCCTAGCTAAAATCCTGTCTATGCTTACTTGGAAAGAAGTTGACTGGAACAAATCAGGATTTACTTCCAAGTATAAATAAATAGAAGGAGGCACATGGCAGATGTATATTAGGAATTTGGAAGCCTAGTAAGGCTGGTAGAGGCTGTGTGTGGACAAGGGGTTGCTGGTTTGTACAGAGTCTTTACACAGACAACTGGAGTGGGATTACAGATCTAAACATCTAGTCCAACCTCCCTCTCCCCAGCCATACAGCCTCAGGCATAATAATGTTAATACAGCAGATGGACCTGCAAACAGAAGAGGCTTTAAAGAGATTCCTCACATTCAGCCGGCTTTGTCATGGGGAGGTGTAAAGCATAACTGACAATGGAAACGGGATACTGTGATTGGGCAAGTGGGTGCTTTAATGCATGAGCACAGAAGGGATTTCTGTTTCCAGAGAAACAGGTATGCACCAGGAAGAGGTAGGAGAATCAGTTTCAAGTTGCCCTGATTTCATGAACACTTTAATTGATATTACTGGGACACAGATATTTTAACTTTGGCTGAATAAGTGTTGAGGGTCCCTGTGTGTAGCCTGGAGAATGTGTGTGTGTGTGTGTGAGTGCACACATGTGCCCACGCACATGCATCATACATGAGCATATTTGTAGCCTATCATCTGTTTGCATGTCTGAGAAGGGTGTGAAAAATCCATGGAGAAGGATCTGTGTGTGAGAGAAGTGTTTATACACTGGATGCATGGGCATTCTGGTGATGAACATGTTCACCAGGGAAATCTCTGCAAGTGCGGTCTGTAGTTTGCAAGTGGTGTGGCATCTGCATATGCCTGAGTGCATGCTGGTAGTTTGCCATGTGCAGTTGTCATATATTGCTGTGTGTAGAGGTGAAAACTTTGGACAGGAGCTGGACCTGTGGAATGATATATAATGGTCCAAACGTGTGTCTGTGGGGTGGAACTATCTGCCTCCCTTACTATTGGGCTTGTGAAGGGCATGTATCCCTCACCCAGGTATGTGATGTGTGCAGACGCTTTCTGGGGGAAGGAAAGCTGCATAAAAACGTCCTCACCGTGTCCTGGGCGGCCCCCTGAAGTTGGTAATGAGCGAGAGCCACTAAGAGCCTTGTGTGAGCAGACTTCGCGGGGACGAACTTGTTCTTCTGGTTTCAATGAAGCATGACGATCGAGCAATGTGTGTCCCGGAGGGTGGGGAAGGAGTGGAAGGCAGGTTGAGCGCCACACACTGCGTGGAACTGAAAAGTGTGCCGGCGGGGAGGTGTGCGCTACGCCATTGCCGGCAACGCGTTTGTGCGAGAGAGCGGCGGGCGGGGCGCCTTTGTGGCCTCCAAGGGTGCGGGCGGGCGCCGTGTGAGCAGCGAGCTCCGCGAGGAGCCGGGCTGTTCGTGCGCCGTCGGAAAGCCGGGGGAGCTTGCGGTCCAGAGGGGTGTGGGTGGGTGTGTGCCGGGAGAGAGCCGGGCCAGCGCTGTCCGCGGAGCGGCACCGCCGGACGGCTCGTCGGCTATAAAGAGAGCGGGAGCCGGCAAGGCAGCGCTTGAGCAGGCGACTCCTCCGCGGGAGGAGCGCACGGGCTCGCCGGCCGAGGCGGAGCCGCCCCGTCCCTCCTTCTCCGAGCGAGCGAGCGCTCGCCCGACCCAGCCCCGTCCAGCGGCTCTTCGCCCGGGCTCGGCTTGGGGGGGCCGAGGAAGCGCGCAGCGCACGCCTTGCGGGAGGAGTCCCGCCTCGCGCATGGGGAGGCGCCCCGTCCCGAGGGGCCGAGGTAAGAGCAACTTCGCTTTCCCGTCCCGGCGGCTTTGGAGGGCTTCTTGAGACGGCCCCGCCCCGTGCCGAAGTCGGGGGAGCTGGGGGGAGGGAGGAGGCGGCGGCGGCGGCGGCGGGTGGCCGGTGCCTGACCCATCTCCTGCCTCCAGGCGAGCTAGCCGGGCCGGGCGGAGCCGACCTGCTCTTGGCTCTCGACCTGCCGCGCGAAGTCCAGGGGGGGCCGCGGAGGCTGGAGGCGGTGGGGGCCGCTGCTCGGCCGGGCTGGCCAGGCGCTGAGCTCTTGCTCCTCTTCTCCTCTCAGGGCCACCGGCGCCAACTCTCGCCCGCCGAACTGGGGTTGATGTTGAACCTACAGAGCCCGTTCACCGAGAGGGGGGGATTCTTCTCTTCCCTGGCACACCCGCACCCGCCGCAGGAAGACGGCCACCTCCAGCACATGGATGGCAACGGGAGCCTCAACGGGAGTGATGTGGGGCACAGAGGGGACCTTCCCTATCCCTTGCACACCACCTTGGCCCTCATCACCCTGGCTACGCTGCTCATGCTCTTCACCATCTTCGGCAACGTCTTGGTCATCATCGCTGTCTTCACTAGCCGGGCCCTCAAGGCCCCTCAGAACCTCTTTCTGGTCTCCTTGGCCTCGGCTGATATCTTGGTGGCCACCCTGGTCATCCCCTTTTCCCTAGCCAATGAAGTGATGGGCCAGTGGTACTTTGGGAAAGTCTGGTGCGAGATCTACCTGGCCTTGGATGTACTATTTTGCACCTCTTCCATTGTACATCTCTGTGCCATCAGCCTAGATCGTTACTGGTCCATCACTCAGGCCATCGAATACAACCTCAAGCGCACCCCACGCCGCATCAAAAGCATCATCTTCCTCGTCTGGGTCATCTCGGCCGTCATCTCTTTCCCACCACTCATCTCCATCATGAAGCAGGGTGAGCCTGACAGTTCAGTCCATCAAGAAACAGACTCAAAGCCAGAGAGCAAGACACCTACCTGCATCATCAACAAGGAGACATGGTACATCATCTCTTCCAGCATTGGCTCGTTTTTCGCTCCCTGCCTTATCATGATCCTGGTTTATGTCCGTATCTATCAGATTGCAAAGAGGAGGACTCGTGTGCCTCCCGGCAAGAGAGGGGAGAATACAGAGAGGAAGCAGAATGGGCTGGCAGATAAGGAAGACCTTCCTGCGATGACCAAACTTAATGGGGAGAAGGGCGCTGTGGTGGGAGGAAGCCAGGAAAGGGAAGAAGTCAATGGCATTGACATGGAGGACACTTCCTCCTCAGAACACAACGAGGACCATCAGTCCAGGAAGCAGGAGAAGGCGCAGAGAGGAAAGGGTAAAACCAAGCTAAGCCAGATTAAGCCTGGGGACAACTTGCCTTCAAGAGTGGAGGAGGAGAGAAATGCCAAAGCTTCCCGATGGAGGGGCAGGCAGAACCGAGAGAAACGCTTCACCTTTGTGCTGGCAGTAGTGATTGGGGTGTTTGTGGTTTGCTGGTTCCCTTTCTTCTTCACCTACTCCTTGACTGCTGTTTGCAAGAGTTGCTATGTGCCTGACACCCTCTTCAAATTCTTCTTCTGGTTTGGTTATTGTAACAGCTCCCTGAACCCTGTCATCTACACCATCTTCAACCATGACTTCAGGAGGGCCTTCAAAAAGATTCTCTGCAAAGTAGACCGAAAACGGATTGTGTGAGAAACCAGGTTAATTTGCAAGGGTGATATTTCTTTTTCTTCCAGAGGGTCTCTACTCTGACTGGTTTGGGATGGTGTTTTAGCTGATTTCTGAGCTCAAACTCTTCAAAGACTTCAGGTGAAATGAAGTGTTTAAAATGGTAGCACACAGCCTCAGCCAAAGTGGAATATTTCGCTCAATTGATGGAGTTGGAGACTTGACTGTAGGCAATGTTTCTATACACTTGTAAGTTTGACTTGTTACAAAACTGAAACGAACTAACTGGGGTGGGGGAGGGAAGTCACAAAGATGAAAGGAAAGTCCTATATTTCAGGAATACTTTCTATTTTTGTTTTCTTTGTACAAATGTAATTAATGCTGAACTCCTTGTAAAGCTACAGTATTGCATCTTTGGGAATCTGTACATCTTTAATTTTGGTAGTAGAAACCGGGTTTGAAGCTTCTTTAGGTATATCTTGAAAACTTGAAGTACTGATAAAAGAAATGAACGGACCACTGGAGCCATCTCATCAATCCTAAAATACGATAGTATTAAAGTACCAAGATTTCCAATATGCTGTTGGATTTTTGGGCTCATAAAAAACTGGTAACACACACTTGAAACAGCCAGTGTTTTATTCTACCCCCTATGTGTAGCTTGTTTTTATTTTAATATTCTTGTGTTGTCTCTTTATGCAGTATTTGATAAAAAGCTGTACAAAACGAATATTAAAAGTTTTACAATTGGCACAGAGGCTCTCAAAAGGCTAAACTCATTTTAACTTTTAATGCTCAAGAGCAATTAGGTACTAAAAGGGTTGATAAGGTAACCCCCCACCCCTGTATCATGCACTGATATATGTTCAATGCTAACTTGTTTCCCCAGCCTGTGGTTGTAAATAGATAACCTGACAGATGCAACCCTTTGTCTTTGTGTTTACAGTGTTATTGGATTTGCATTGATTTTTAAGATTTTCATTTATACTAGGTGTCCTGCACAAGAAACTTCCTTCATGCACATGGGCACTTTGGTCTTTTAAATAATCCATAGAAATGAAGTTTTTTGTTATTCCAGATTTGCTACATAAATATCTCTTTTGGTTTATTCTAGAGTGACTATTATATACATATACATTTATATAGGAAGAAGGAAATTATTGGGGCAATTATGCTGTTTATACTATGTGAGAATTTATACAGGTACTAGAAAGAAAGAGTTAAAATTTTTGAGAATTATCTTTAAAGGTTTAGTTTTGGAAGTATCTGTTGCAGATAACTTAATATTCTTGTCCCATAGGACAGACATCCTGACAATTATTAAAGTGGAGGGGAGGAATTGGGGACCTCTTGTATCGTGTGTTCATTTTAATTATAACTGAGATGGTCCTTGTTTGGATGAATTGTCCCTTTCTCTGGAATGCCAGCATTCTATAGAATGCCACCGATGCTCTGTATTTTGGGAATACCACACCCCTGCCTAATGCCAAAAGACCAAACATCTGATCTCAGTGGTGCCTCCTAGATCAGAAATTGTAATTGGGCAGCTCTATTTAATCTAGCAAAATAGCTGCCAATATGATGCTAATGGGGGAAAGGAAGGGGTAGCTTTTTAGTATCAGAAATGCTACTCATAGATGATTTGAAGTGGCTCTGTAGCTGGAGAGCCTGTTAAAGCTGTTTACATATAACTTTATTATACTACATTTTTAGATTTCTTTTTTTAAAGAAAAAAAATCTTTTACCAGTTTACCAGTGAGGGGGAAAACTTCTGTAGAACTGACTGCATATGGATACATTCAGATATATAATCTGTTTCTGAAATGGATTGTGCTAGCACATAAGTGTTTACAGAGGGACAGCAGTCTGACTGCTAAGCTAACACAGTGCCACAAAATGTGATTCTCTGCCATTTTAATCATGTTGCCAGGGTATCAGAGACAGCAGTGCCAAGGCCAATGCTTAAGATCAGGGTTCCAGAACAGTAGTTATCAATAGCAGTCCCTTAACGTTAGTTTTTAGACTACAATAACACTTATTGCAGTAATTAGCTTTGTTACTACGATCACTTAAAAACGCACATGCACACACTTTCCTTCAGCATCTCAGTGTGCCCACCCGTGTTATTCCCACAGCCTGGTGAGGCAAGTTAAGCCCGACAGAGTGGTCCACAGTCACCCAGTGAGCTTCATGAGGTTAATGAAATTTCAAATGAAGGTCCTCATTCTAAATCTGCATGACTTCACCCAGTTGCTCCAAGTATATCTGAAATTTCCTCACAGAGGTATTTGAATGTTTACCAAAGAAAGGAATTAGATACTGGGAGGTTTTCCTGTAACCTGAGGCAAATTTCCTGTATACCTGCTCAGTCCTGTGATGTCTTGTAGCAGCAAACAAGGGGAAAAAAAAAAAGCATTTCACTTGGAGCACAATATGTCACCCCAGCATCTTAGGGATTGATTTTCTGTGAATGTTCTATGATGAATTTGCTATTTTAAAGTTGGGGTCCTAGTCTTTAATATTATTTTGGCTGACAGGAGTTCAGCTGTTTCATTTGAATGCAAAAAAAAAAAAAATTCAGTGCCTCATCACAGCACATTCAACAGGAGACAAGATGGAAAACCACTTGCTCCAGTCACTGATTTCTTCTTGCTCCAGTCCCAGAGATGGCAAAGAAAGTCTTCCTTGGGTTACCATAACAATAACTACAGAGCACAATTCCAGAGAAAGATAAATGTACTTTAAGCCTCATTATCTGGCCCAGTTGTGTCTGGATTGTGCCCACTTACCTTGATGCAATGATTTAGTGGGGGAGGGGGGTACAGCAGCTCCTATTCCTACATGGAACTTCACTCAAGAGCTGCTCCATTGCTTTCAATGGAGGAAAGAATTCTTGCAGTCTTCCCTTTCCATTGAAATAAATGGGACTGGCCATGCCCAAGAGGTTTGTGTGGGGTTCTTGCTATGGGATCAGAGGCCTTTAAAGCATTATCCATTCCATCACTCTTATGCCAGAATGAACTTGTTTGAGAAATGGAGCAGGGCTCTTTTTTAGGAGTGCAATGTCAAATGTAATCAAACAGAAAATATCTTATGCTTGGATTTTTCCCCTGCTTTCTTTTTATTATAACTTCATCTGGTACAGCCACCTTGTGATTGCCATGCCATTTGTGCTTTTGAAGAGATCAATCAATGGAAAAGGCCATAATGAGTTTTTTAAAAAACAATAAAGTTTCTATATTAAAATGTGTATTAACTGTCTGTATTTGCAGCAGCTTATGGCTTTAAGGACTTATTTGCAACTGGGAAATTGACCTTTGAAAGAACATACAGCAAGAGTCTCTTGTCATTTGCAGAAGCTGTGGTTATATCTCATGTTAGACAGAACAATGGTCTGGTTCATTGTGCAAGTGACACACTGACAACTAAGCTTTTGATATTATTTTGCTTTCTTCCTTCATGCCACAGCAAATCCATTCATGTACCTCTTACAGAACAAGGATTAGGGCTTACTGTGCAGAATTTGCTCTACATATTTAAGTTTGTCATGTCCCCCTCCCCCCCAAACTATTGGCCCAGTGTCGTGTTTGCTAACTGCTGACAGACTGCTGAGTAATTAGGTTGCAAGTGCAAGCGGGAATTATTGGAGTAGGAGGAAAATCAGTGCTTGTATACAGCCCAACACCAATTGGTGTTTGAAGAACGCAGCAAGAGATTATTTGTTTAATTAACCACCCTCAAGAACAGAGCTTAGTTTTACATGTTAGAATGCATAAGTGAATATTTTAATCTGTGTGAAGAAAGATGACAGAAATCCATTCCATAAACTCCAAACTGAGAGGCATTGTTTGGATGTGGTGACAAACTAGTGTTGCCAGCTCCAAGATAAGAGAACATAAGAGAAGCCATGTTGGATCAGGCCAGTGGCCCATTCAGTCCAACACTCTGTGTCGTACAGTGGCCATAACCCAGGTGCTATCAGGAGGTCCTCCAATGGGACCAGAACTACAGAAGCCCTCCCACTGTTGCCCCCCAAGCACCAAGAATGCAGAGCATTGCTGTCCCAGACACAGTGTTCCATCTATACCTTGTGGCTAATAGCACTGATGGACCTTTGCTCCATGTGTTTATCCAATCCCCTCTTGAAGCTGTCTATGCCTGTAGCCACCATCACTTCTTGGGGCAGTGAATTCTACATGTTAATTACTCTTTGGGTGAAGTGCTTCCTTTTATCTGTTCTAAGCTTACTGCTCATCAATTTCATTGAGCGCCCACAAGTTGTTGTATTATGAGAAAGGGAGAAAAGTACTTTTTTCTCTACCTTCTCTATCCCATGCATAATTTTGTAAACCTCTGTCATGTCACCCTCCAATTGTTTCTCCAAGCTAAAGAGCCCTAACCTCTTTAACCTTTCTTCATAGAGAAAGTATTCCATCCCCTTAATCATTTTATTTGCCCTTTTTGGCGCCTTTTCCAATGCTATTATGTAGTATTCTTCCTTTTTTTTGAGGTGCAGTGACCAGAACTGTACACAATATTCCCAATGAGCCTGCATCATTCATAGGTATATACAGGGGCATTATGATACTGGCAGATTTGTTTTCAATTCCCTTCCTAATAATCCCCAACATAGAATTTGCCATTTTATTGCCATTGCACACTGAGTTGACATTTTCAAGGGATTATCTACCAAGACTCCAAAATCTCTCTTCTGGTCAGTTACCACCAGTTTGAACCCCATCAACATATATTTATATATGTTGTGAAATACTTGGAGGTTTTTGAGACGGAGCCCGAGGAGGGCAGGGTTAAGGGGAGAGGCTTCAATGGGGTATAATGCCATAGAGCCCACCTTCCAAAATGGCTATTTTCTCCAGGTAAACTGATCTCTGTTGCCTGGAAATCAATTATAATCTCTGGGGATCTCCAGCCACCGCCTGAAGGTTGGCAACCCCATGACACCATGATTTGTTATACTAATGAGCCTGGCAGATTCTTGGGTTTATGCAGGCACTTTCTCTGGACATGATGATCTAAGGAATGCCTGGATTTATGGCAAGCTGTTACTACTGGTTGTGTCTAGACCACAAACTGTGGTTTGCATTCCTATGAACTGGATTTTGAACTGTAGTTTAATCCTGGTTAGAGTTTCTGGCTTTTAGAGAAGAATTTACCTCGTGTTATATTTAATCCTGGTTTGAAATCCTGGGAAGAGTTTATTTTACAGTTTGATATCCAGACATAAGAAACAGCTATACTTTACCATGAATCTAGAAGCTTGTCATGCACTGAAGAGTAGAGGAAGCACACATGCACAAAAACCCCTCTCTAGTATGTTCATGCAAGAGCCAAGCCATGATTTGCACTGATGTCTGAATTTTTCCAGTGGATTCTTGTTATATTTTTTTACTGCTATTATTATTTCATGGAGAATAGTACACATTATTTTTACCCACACATACTCTTTCTCCTTTAAGCTTTTATATCCACACCCAGGGGTCATTTCCTGCAGGAGTGCACAGGAGCGGAGCTCCGGCAGTAAAGAGCCCAGAGGGCAGGCACATGCAAAGGTACTAATATCCTATATGTTGAACATGTTCTTACATAACAAATCCTTCCATCAACAGGCACACGTTCAACATATAGTATTGGATTTACACATTCTGGAATAAGAAGCAACACCATCACATCTTGATGTTTGGAAGAAGTTCTTCATGAAATGAATGCCAAAACTCTGGAGACGTTCGTCCATCTTTCTGATATCTGTTGGGAATTAATATTTTTCAATTTGACTGTTTATTTTTGTATCATTATTGTGAGATTATAAGCGTTTTGTACAACATTACAGCTTCTATATTTTTGGGCAACGGGGAGTAGGCTGCTCC